ATTATTGCACGCAAACAATTTACACCAAGAGCAGTGGCGCCCCAAAATCTACGGAAAGGGCCCCCTAGACATGGAGCTGAAGACGCGGCCTCCGAATTATCTTGCTGGTAAGCGCGGCTTGTGAGGGCAGCTGAGCGGCGCAAGTTATGCGAGATAACCTTAGTTGTTTGGTGTTCGCACATTTCAAAGACATTTCAAAGTTTTTCGTACGTTTGCGTACATTTCAAAGTTTTTTAAAGAGAAGCACGCGTCTAGCGTACTGCTCGTACTCGCTGTTGCTGTTCAGTGCACAGGTTTTCATGTGAGGCAGTGCTGAAGCTTTGTAAAAAGCGGAGCTCTGCAAGCTTTTTGTTATGCCACGTGTACGAACGAATGATCGACCCAGCATGACTTTGCCACGGTCATTTCTATGGCCCGGTGTGTTGTATAAATAATCAGCCATAACTATTTGTTACATACTATACTCAAGCGATGGCACTATGCGCAAATAATATGAGTAGTCTTTCATGTCGTCCTCACCGAACCAACATTACTAAGACAGACTGCAGTCGCTTGCCTGGGGCAGGGGTTGCAGCAAGGCGGCACTTCTCCTTACCCCAACCACATCAGCGCCTCCCTTTCAAAGCCATTCTGACTCCAATAAAAATGGGCTTGCGCCCTCAAGACACCCTGTCGACACCCATGACTGCATTACGAGCCCGAATATCTCATATTTTGCATTTGATGCTACCTTGCACTTCTAGGAAATACTATGAACGCTTGATTTGCTGCCCCAGGAGTAATTTAAACAGCTTCCCTACAGTAATTACTTCATTTGTTGTTTGTGATTTGCAGAGTGGCGGAGTTATTGAGTGGTTATACCACAGTTTCTCATGTTCGATGTCACTCTAGATGCATTGCAGAAAAAAAATATCACAAGGAGAAGGGCTCGTGTCCTTTCCCTTGGGATAGATGTCATATCTTTTGTGTCACCTTTTACTCCCCTCACCCATCACAGAGTAGTCAGCTGCTTTTAGAAGTGGCTAACCTCCCGGACCTCCCGCTAATTTATTCGTCAACTTCCAATGCCTTTTTCTCAGGTGAACAAAGTACACTGAGGCACATAGAAGTGCTTCTTCATCGCGTAGAATGAATGAATGAATGAATGAATGAATGAATGAATGAATGAATGAATGAACATATTTATTGGAAGTTCCTTCTGGCGAGGCGGAGAAGGGAGGGTGGGGTCAACTCTTGTCCCATCCCACCCTCCATAGATGATGATGGCGTTAGCTCCGGTTATGGCTCCAAGTACTTGGACCCGGGCGGCATCGGCTTGCCGGATGGCACAAAGCTGGTCGGCCAGTTCACTTAGGAGAAAATTACATTCATTATATTTATTTTATTATAGTGCAGACCAACTTGGCCTCGGCAGGGGGAGCATTACACATAAAAGCAAAAAAAAATTCAAAGATGGCTCAATACAAGCAATGATACTATTTTAAACATGTGTGCATAAACTCTGATGCATAAAACTATTGGAGCATAAAATTATTAGCGCTCATATATACAGAAATTGAAAAACAACAACACTAAGTAAACATAAAAACTAACAAAACGTATACTCTTCCAGAGCTTGGATGAAGTCTGGCGACCTAATAACTGAATCTGGTATTGCTGTTCCAGTACACTATAGTTTTGGGAAATAAGCTATTTTGAAGCGACTTAGTTTTAGCGAACATCGGTTTTATTGCATGAGGTCTAGTGTTTCTTGTTGCACACTGAGTCTAAAGAAACTGAATGATCATTATTCGTCACGAACATGGTCGCCACTAAGGCGTTGTGTGGCGCGTGCACAAGTACACTTGTTTGCTCAACAACAGCCACAACCTCTGTGGACGGCCTCGACCGCGCATTCAACTACGTTACCTCTGTCCGACACCACCTCTCTCTCCAAAAGATACGGCAATTTTTCTCAACTTCTATTGACCTACTAAGTTCTGGCGAAAGACATGCTTGCTGTTATATCAAAAGAAACACTTGAGCAAATTAATAGTGTACAGCGGAAACTGCAGATGACGAGTGAGAACAATTACACATAGTTGCACTTTCTTAGCAGCAATGCAGTCGGTGATAACGGCGTGCTCTTTCGCGATTCGGGACAATCGTTCGCCCTGTCGATTGGGCCGCAAGGTTAACAAGTTCATAATTGCACACTAAAATACTCGTTGCAGGCGTTCGTTCACACTCGGGATGCTGCTGGTTCAGCAAAATCCCCACCTCAAGTAGAAGATTAACGTAGAGGAGCCGCGGTGGCGGCAGGGCACCACTCCAATATCTCGTGGCAAAGAGACGTGGTTTAGAAGGCACTTAAGGTTTTAGAGAAATTTAGGTCAGGCATCTAGTGAGCATCTCTGAGCCACACAAAGCATGTCTTACGGCCATGTTTATGAGCAGATGAAGCTGAATACACTGCCGAAGCCCAAAAATCGCTGTGCCATTGTCGCAATACCCCGCATAAGTGATCTAGGCGTTTGTGATGCCCACCGAGGCGGGAGCTTCAATCTCATATCCGTAGCACTTTTCGTCGGTGAAAAGAAAGACAGTGATAACAATGTTTAATAATATTTCCGGATATCTTTTCCTCGTTAATCGCCTGGCTTGCTGCTCCAAGTGCCGGGTGATAACTATGGAGCCTGGTCAACGTCGCTACGAGCACATACCTCGGAAAGGAAGAAAATTAAGAAGAAGTTTTGGTACTGCAAACTCGTAGTTATACAGGCTTGGAACTATGAGTATTAATGTCTATACATCGTCTTTGACTGACATCATCATGAACAAAACGGGCTGAAACGCTTCATCGGTATTCTTTATTGTTCATTCAGTGGCTTCTCTAATATAACATTTTAAGGCACGTAATATAACCCACACTGTAAGTCCTGATAACAAGAGCCTTTTTGTTGCCTTTGTCAATGTGTTTTATGAGCGCCAACAAACTGTACCGACAAGGCGTCCATGTTAACATTATCCTTTGTTACAATCGTGACTAAATTCATTCGCGAAGTAATCGAGGAGCCGATGAGGTGCGTTAAACAGAAGCTCCTGCGATTTGCAAGGAAACTCATGAAATGGACTTAGAAATTCATTCCCGGGAGTGATTACTTATACTTTCGAAAAAAAAAAATCTCTCATTGCCAAATGTTTTCGTGAGAGCGGGTAGAAGCCACTTGCCAGCTCAGATATTTTTTAACAGCAGCACATGCCGGCGAACGAGAGCGGCCCTCGCCAATCAAAAACTTACCACACACACCCACTCCCACACACACATATATACGCACGCGTGCACAAATGTGAACCATGGAAGCTTCGAATTCAGCGCGCCTTTCACCTCGTCGACAAAAGCGACGTTGTCCGGCTGTGGTGCAGCGAATTCCGATGACGTCATTTAGAAGCGAAAGCGACTTTCTTCCCTTGGATTCGCTGGTCCACTGAAAACAGAAACAAAAAGGATGCTTCGCGCGCTAGCTTCCGAGATCGATGGAATAACTCCGGCGGCTCCACGGCGGGAATCACTCGCACGGCAGCGCTCGCGCGGGACGGTCGAGCCTCGCCTGCGATAGAGCATCGTTGCTTCAACAGTGGAGAATCACGTGTATACGTGCGTGCGTGACGTCGGCGTACACTGTTTTCCTCAGTACTGCTTGCCCCCTTATTTTCCCTTGCGGTCAAGAACACGTAAGTCGGACAAAACTGCTTGTGGTCATTCGCGGCGTGCAAGACCTATGTACAATCCAGAGTGTAAAAAGGACATCTTTATTCCCGCCCCCGAACATTAGTCGAACCCGTTGCAGCCCCTCTTGTTGGTATATTATACCTATACTGTGCACAAAAGGTGGTGACCAAGCGAAAAGTGACGATTCTTGTGAATAATGACACTTTGAAACAGTTTCCATCTAAGCAGTCATTGGGTCAACCTCCATGAAAGGGTAGCCGGGTGTTGAATGGCGGTTGGACTTCGCAGGATTAACCAATAATATTGCCCCATACTAATTAGTGATCGTATTATAGTGATTTGGAAAGCTTCGCAGACTTCCTAATAAGTAAAAGGTGCTGCAGTTCTGTTGACTGTCTATAGGTTGCGAAGTTGTGAGAGGAAAGCGACCTTTACTGCAGTAAAAATTGTACTCCAGAAGACGCGTTCAAAGATAATGCTAATAAAACCAATACACTTCGTGCATCGCTCCCAACTTTGTGAAACTATTAGATAACTTGTGCATGTTTTTTAATGTGGCCAAAAATTATAGAGTGTGCTTCGTAGGTGCATTAAAATGTACAGTTTCGTTTTTCCCAAACGCAAGCACTACATTGTTAACTAATTACTTTGTTGGTGCGGTTATCTGCATAGAAAAAATACTCACAACTTCTGAAAGTACTATTACTTTTCCCAAATATTGACTGAATTTCTTCGCTGCTACTGACAACTTCGTTCAAGCCACCTCAAAGCAGCAACACTGTTGCTTATTGAGCAAATTCGCTTTACTCATCACGAGACATTTGGCAAAAGTAATGAACAATACTAACTCTTTCCTGAAAGACGAAATCTAACTTGCGACAACTCGTGGTCCTACGTGAGGTGAGTGCACACTTCTTCCAAGGAATTGAGTGACCAGTGAATGCGAGCGTAGAGACGATTCCAAGATAAACGACCTGATATTTGTCGCCTAGATTTCTCCTGTGCTCACGTGGATTTACAGACGGTCTCAGAGTAGGAAAAAGTGCTTCATCTGCATTTAAACTTGCTAGGGTATTGTGCGTCATGAATAGGCGCATATTGTTTTGAGGGGCGTATCGACAGTGCTCGCAAAACGTGCCTCGCGTACTATACATCACCAGACAGTGGTATTGGATATTTGGCGGACAGAGTAGCAATCAGTGCAGTGAAAGGGTGTGGTCACAGATCAAAACAAGAATCGCGGTGTAAAGTCCTGATTTGTGCGCTTCCTTCGTGAATTCCGGCCGGGATGGTGCAACAACCCGAGAGGGACGCGGCATTTCTGGACACACTGCTGAACAGTTCGTTGTCGAACGCGGATAACTCGTCACTCCTGCGCACCTTGCTTAAGTCCCTGAACGACACCTCAACCCGGGATCACGCACCAGTGATCGAAGTGCAGAGCCAGCGGCAATGGGTGCTGCCCTGGTGGACGCAGCTGGTGTACGCCTGCCTGTTCGGATTTATGGTGGCCACGGCCGTGTTGGGCAACGCCGCTGTGGTCTGGATTGTGCTCGCTCACCGGACGATGCGTACTGTCACCAACTACTTTCTGCTCAACCTGTCGCTGGCTGACGCCTTAACGGCCACGTTCAACGCCATATTTAACCTGGTCTACATGCTCGAGAGCCATTGGGCCTTCGGGGAAGGCTACTGCGTCTTCAACAACTTCATCGCCAACTTGACTGTGGCCTCGTCTGCGTTCACGATGGCAGCCATGAGCATCGACAGGTGAGTCGGCTTTTGGACAGCATTAAAATGACAAAGCTGCCACGTGCGAGCCTCACGCGCCTGCTTACATACCCGCGTGCAGCTCGCACCAATTGTGCCCGTTTTATTTAATTAGACGTAATGCTACCCGAGACTACAGGAATTTTGAAAAAATATAGTGCTAGCATTTCATTAGGTAGCCCTTTGGTGAAAAGGAATACGATCAGGATATTGGTATTGTACCAATCTAATAACATCGACCAAAACGTGAAGACAATGCTTATTTGTGTGACTTTGTAGTCTGTGCTATTGTGTGAAGGTACCTCTAGTGTGAAACTGGTGTTGAAATTTATTCTTGCCTTTTCTACTAGTATGCTTCTCAATGTTTCAGACTGAACTGTAACCTGTGTTATTTGCACTTGCTCCCCTTAATTTTAACAATGTTTTAACTTTTTCTTTCTTTTCTCTCTTTTATTTTCGAATTTGCATGGTTTTAATATTTGTATGTGTTATACTTAAATGGTTACTACCAACTGCTCTGTAGACAGCGCAGTTATACGAAAAAATGTTTTATTTACTTCTCAGTGAATATGGTGAGAAGTTGACACCGTTACCTGTCAACATTTACAGCGACTTTTTGTAAACCTGAACAACACTGGCAGACGTAATAATTTATAACAAGTGATTAACTAATAAAAAGATAGTTCTTGTTTTTTTGTCTAAAGTAAATAAATTAACCGGTTCAGTCAGTGTCCGTTCATGATTGCATTGAGCTCCATATCAACGCAAGAAGTACAGCCGCGACCACGTCTGTGTAGAGCCCTTTAGCAGGTGGTTTTCGCTCTGCTGGGCGAAACCTTGAGGCAGTGTCGGGCTCCAAAGTGGTGTATCAACAGCATGCTCCGCCTATTTGCCAGGCTCACCACGTGAGAGCCTGATACTGCGTCAAAGTGTCAGCCCACAGAGCAAAAACCGGCAGCTCGCGGGCTCTACACAGACGTGGCCGCGGCTGTAGAAAAAAAGTAAAAAAAAAACGAATGTAAGGACGTACATTTTCGTTATTGTTCTTTCACGTCAGTTGGTGGGTTTTTGATCAGTGAAACCCTAAAGGCCATGTATACAATTAATACAAAGTTTTCTTCACAGAAAAAGTTTCTTATGAGTATTCCGCTCTTACTACTTTTCTAGACTTGCGTGACTTTCTTCAGAATTATTCATTTTTTGACTGGGCCCCTAACCAACCTATGAAAGTAAAACATAGTAAATAAAAAGGAGCGCGTTTTACCCTTTTTTTGCAATTTCTCGCCTTCCCGGCACACTTTGGGCCGAAAGAAGGGTGATTCACGTGATGCCATCAAGGTGCATACTCTCGATTGTTCTTTATAGGAGAAATTTCAGTTGTGAGTCTATCCCAACACAGCTTTTCTCTGCTGCCGACCATCCGTTATTTCTTGGCTCGCATGACCATCGTTTCTTACAAACTGATTTTATTTCATTTTTGTGCGTTTCCAAGTGGAGATAGCACGTCGTCGACGAGCGCGAAATCCTGATGAGCTCAATGCTTAACGCTGGCATTTTGCGCGCACTTTCGGGGAACAGATGGCGAAGAGGTAATAGCTCTTGTAAGAATGTGAGAGAAGGGCCAGAAAAGTACCACCCTTTTTCGAAGTTGGTGCGGTTCCCTAAACAATTTCCAAAAATACAAAGGATGAGCGCGTTTTTCTCCCATAGCATTTCTCCTCTTTGCGGCACAATTTCTGACGCTAGCAGTTTGTTCGTACGGCGTAAGGTTGAAATGATATGTTGATTGGATACTGAAAGATATCTGTCGCGAATTGCCACCTACTCTGCTTTGCCACGCAGACGGCCATCCACTTTTGCTTGTATCGCGTGACTATTTTGTGGGATAAAATTATTGTACTTCGTTTTCGACTGCGCAAGCCAAGACAGCAGCATGTAGCCAAAAAGCTCGAAACCCTGAATAGCTCACTGCTCAGGCCCGGTACTCCACGTGTTTTACGAAGAAGTAGGTGTCGAAAAAAAAATAACTCTAGTAGGAAGGGTATACACCGAAGGTGAGAAAAAACACAGCTCTCGCTTTTGAACTCGGTTTCATTTAGGACATTTCACCACCACCTGCACCAATATCGCTTGTACTTCGTTCATATTGCTTCATACTTACTACGTCCCACGCAGCATGTTTCTTAGCCTCTGTACCTGTTATAGTTGCATCATGTTCGCTTTAATAATACACATAATTTCATAGTACAATTTCATTCGTGCTGGCTTGAGTATTGTAACCGACTATGCAGCATAGCAAGCTCGTTCTTGCAAACACTACACAAATTACACTGTTTATTGAAATAAATCTGGTGGTCCTAAAACAATAGCCGTAATCGCGAAAAGTTAGTAGTTGGAAGATGGCGCTTGTGATCTTCGTCTATACTTCTTCCGTGTTGTGTCCGCTCTCTCGAACGAAATTGGAGCACGAAGACGCTAAAATACGGACAATGCATTTAGGATGGTAAAAGTTCTTTCATATATATTCAAATACTTTGTGTTCAACAGATACTCCTACCAGTTACATTCAACATATCAGTATCTTTGTCGAAGCTTTTTTATATATGTACGATAGAGATATAATACGCTTTGATTTCAGAAACATCAAGGGTTCACATCAAGTTGGTTCTTTTAAAATTTCCAACTTAATCAACTGATATTTCGTATGACAGTCATGCTTAAGTACAAATTTAAAAATTCGGGGACACTCCAGTTTGTCCGTTAGGAGTTGAACGTGATAGCAATATCCGGTTCATTGCCCCGCCGCGGTTGTCTAGTGGCTAAGGTGCTCAGCGCTGACCCGCACGTCGCGGGATCGAATCCAGGCTGCGGCGGCTGCATTTCCAATGAAGGCGGAAATGTTGTAGGCCCATGTGCAAGATTTAGGTGCACGTTAAAGAACCCCAGGTGGTTAAAATTTCCGGTGCCCTCCACTATAACGTCGCTCATAATCATATGGTGGTTTTGGGACGTTAAATCCCGCATATTTATGATAGCCTGTTAATTTTTGATAGAGGCGAAAACGCTGTAGGCCCGTGTGCTCAGATTTGGTTGCACGTTAAAAAACCCCGGGTAGTCAAAATTTCTGGAGTCCTCCACTATGGCGTCTCTCATAATAATATGATAGTTTTAGGACGTTAAACCCAACATATCGATCAATATCAATCAATATCTTCTTCCTTGTTCGTACTTCAACCACTTAGCACCCACGTTTATTGCATGACCTTACTCTAGAAGTTGAAATTGTGTATGATAACAATGAATTGAATAAAGTTGAAAATTGCCTCTGTCATTCAAGCTTTCGCGTGTGGCTTCATTCTGTGTAATGGGTAGCATTCTTTAAACCACAAGCGAGAATGTGCGTCAAGCTTTTTAGAACTTGCTATGCACGAACTAAGTGGTGTTAAGGAAGTTGGTGTTGTAAGGTGTGTGCCTTTTGTAATAATTGGTGGGTTTTAAACCACACAGTGGGCTCGATTATCACATAATACACATTAAGTTAGCTCGGTATTATGTAATTGTGCGATGACATCCAGTAACCATGGCAAAGCATTTCATTTTGCAAGTTTGTTAGTTCAATGCAGAGGCAGTATTTAATGTATGAGGCGGTTCTGCGCCGCAGAGAAACATTCTTTGCCATCAGTCTATATAACTTGTTCAATGGTTTTCTCAAGAAAAATATATATCCTTGCTGGCGATGGTTCGGTGTTCTAGTTGGATTACGGTAACTGCAGAGACTACCAGCGCTGCATAAGTGAGCGTCAGGGCTTCCGTACAATGCACGTCTCGTATTGTCGTTCTCGTTTTATTAGAGCACTTGGTCGTTAGTGAAAAGTGAAGCCTACACTCTTAAAAATAGAGTGACGTTCTCTCCATTTAGGTAGAAACGGCGATCTCCCCTATGTTCGTCTTTAAATAGAGAAACATTGCTGCCTTTGCCACGGAGAAACATGTTCCTTCCTATGAAAATCAACATTGCTGACCCCAGGTTAGCGAAGCGAGTAGGCTTAGCAAATGCATCGACTCTCTACTGATAAGGAGTACACGGCACTGATAGTTACCAAAACCAGTTCGCTGAGCTTGATATCTAATGAAATGACTTAAAAACAAGCAGACGAACTTTTGGTGATGAAAACTTTGTGAAAGAGAATGACGGAGCTAGTAGGTTTCATTCGGCCAGCGAGGCGATGTTAACTTTTAAAGACACGGATAACTGATTGATATGTGGGGTTTAACGTTCCAAAACCACTATATGCATATGAGAGATGCCGTAGTAGAGGGCTTCGGAAATTTAGACCACCTGGGGTTCTTTAACGTGCACCCAAATCTGAGTACACGGCCCTACAACATTTCGGCCTCCAACTAAAATGCAGCCGCCGCAGCCGGGATTCAAACCCGCGCCCTGCGGGTCAGCAGCCGAGTACCTTAGCCACTAGACCACCGCGGCGGGGCAAAGACACGGATAGTGCAGAGTATTTACCTTAAAAGTGCATGCTAGGCTTGCTGCATTTCTTTTTCGCAGATTCATGTAGTGTAGCGACGTTATCCACGCGTTTACGGGGCCGCAGTGCACGAGATGTGCCTCCAAACCGTAGACTAGATCACAGCGAAACCATTCTGACTCAGTATTTAAGTTTTGATAGATACATGTTCAACCTTATATAAGTAGATGGAGGTGTGAGAGCATCAAGGCCGTGAAGTAGGTGGTAGCTGGCGCCATCTGGAGGGTCCAAACAATACTACAAAAAAGTGCAATGCACTTGTTTTGTAGTATCGGCAACGTACGTTGCCATACCTTCCATCACGGCTCCCTTGCGCATAGTTGGCGACTCAGCCTATTCATGGATTGCTCACTGACACCACACGCCTACTACATGTTGACGCAATGCATTAGCTACACATGCACACAAGGGCACACACTACACATAGTACGCATATAAAGTCAATTCAATGAACAAGAGTACC